CCTAGATGTTTGATGGATGATATTAAGGGATTGTTTTTTTTTTTTTTTTTCAACGTTTATTTATTTTTGGGACAGAGAGAGACAGAGCATGAACGGGGGAGGGGCAGAGAGAGAGGGAGACACAGAATCGGAAACAGACTCCAGGCTCTGAGCCATCAGCCCAGAGCCTGACGCGGGGCTCGAACTCACGGAGCGCGAGATCGTGACCTGGCTGAAGTCGGACGCTTAACCGACTGCGCCACCCAGGCGCCCCAAGGGATTGTTATTTTTAAGTGTGATCATAGTAACATACTTACCTGGGGTTTTGTTTTTTAATTTTTTTTAATGTTAATTTATTTTTGAGAGAGAGAGAGAGATAGGGTGCGAGCGGGGGGGGGGGGGGGCGGAGAGAGAGAGATACACAGAATCCGAAGCAGGCTCCAGGCTCCGAGCGGTCAGCACAGAGGCTGATGTGGGGCTTGAAACCCACTGAACCATGAGATCATGACCTGAGCCAAAGTCAACCAACTGAGCCACCCAGGCGCCCTGTGTTTTTTTTTTTTTTTTCAATTAAAGAGTTTTGACTCATACGGACACGTACATACTAAAATATTTGCTGGTGAAATGATGATGCAGGACTAGGACTGAGGGCCCCTCCAGTGCTGCCCCCTAGACGCCTCACTTGCCTTTCCCTAGCCCTGGCCCCTGTGTGATGTCTGGAATTTGTGGATAATGGAGAGAGAATTGTGGATGGGAATATAAATCAAAGAAGATTTGAAACTTTTTCTAATAAAAAATGCAACTAAAAAAATCCTTAAAATTGGCTATGATTTTTTTAAGCAAATAGTAACTATTTTTAATGTTTATTTATTTTTGAGAGAAAAAATCGTGAGCCGGAGAAGGGCAGAGAAAGACGGGGACAGAGGATCCAAAGCGGGCTTCGTGCTGACAACAGAGAGCCAGATGCGGGCTTGAACCCACGAACCATGAGATCACAACCTGAGTCGAAGTGGGATGGTCAACCGACTGAACCACCCACGCACCCCTAAGCTCATAGTAACTTTTAAAATAACTGACAGTAATTAGTTTTCGGCGTTCTACCACTCAGCCCTGGGCCATGAGCCCTTCCACATCAGGTCTTATTCAGCATTGTTTATTTGACTCAAAAATACGTCTGTACGTCTCTCTGAGCCAGGCCGGGTGCCTGGAGCTGAAGGTGCAGTTTCCGGCCGGAAAGCCCCTCCCTGCCTAACACTCACACTCTATTCTAGTAAAGGACAGAGACAGAAGGAAACAAATAGACGCAAGAGGAGGGGCTGCTAAGACCGAGAGTCACAAAAGGGGATGTAGTCAAGGAAGGGAGGCTGCGAAGGCATCGCTGAGGTGGCTGTACTTGGGCTCTAAGAAGAGAAGGAGTCGCCTGTGTGAAGAGAGATGGGAGAACTCCAGCAGGGGCAGCAGGATCCAAGTGTACAAGGTCCTAAGTCAAGAAAGACCCGGCATGTTTTAGAAAACGAGAGACAACCGGTGGGGCAGGCACAGATGAGCTTGATCAGTTAAGTCTTCATGGGCATAATAAGATGTTTGTCTGCCTGATTGTTTCTTAATCTTCTATCCATTATAACAATCAGAGTGTCTGGTGCATAATAAACTCAATGTGTTGATGTAGATTAACCCCTTCTGTGCCGTATTTGGAAAGTGGCTATATTAGAACTCCAGAGGATCATCGAGAAGATGTGACCACCAATTGACCCGTGAGCTGGACCCAGCACTCAGAGGCTCCTCACCCCATCCCCTGGGCTTGGAATGTGGTTCCACTTGCCTTTCTCATTCCAGAGGCTGCTCCAAGGGCACAGACTGGAGTTGGTGATGTGGTGTTGGAACTCCTGCACAGTAACCATAAGGTCTCTTCATAAACTTTGAAGATTTGGCAAGCAGGTGCAGGGATCCATTCGTCTCGCTGCCACCCAAGAAAGTTCCCTTAGCTTATTAAAACCACCACCTACCAACCTAGAGTGGCCTGTCTTCTCTTCCGTTTTTTCCTTTCCCTCCAAGTGAGGGAACTTGGTTTCAGTTTACAGCTGGGAAGTTCCTGAGAGGGTTGCAAATCAACACATGTGCTCCTTGTAGACTAATTCTTGAATTTGTACCTTTAACAAATAAGGCAGCAGTCCCAAAATGGAGTCACGTATGCTAAGCCCCACATCACCAAACTAAGACTTATTTATAGGTTTGCTTCTCTCAGAAATGGAATCTTAAAGCAGTCAATCAAGAATCACCTGATTGGCACTGGTGGGATAATCTGCCTGATACACCTGCCATCCCCTAAAGGAAAGTAACCTGGAAATAACCAATCCTCTTTTTTGCTTCGTCTAACTTCCTTGTACCCGTTCCCTTCTACCTATAAGACTTTCATTTTGTACAGCTCCTCAGAGCCCCTTTCTGTCTGCTAGATTGGATGCTGCCCAATTTGAATCAATTTTTGTTCAAATAAACTCAAAAATCTTAATATGCCTCAGTTTATCTTTTAACAGTATTAACCAGAGTTCTGTTGATTTCTCAAGTCTCTCTGTTTACTTCAGGAAACTACTGATTGGTCTATTTAACTCCTTTCTTGCCTCAGCACAGGATTGGCAGAAAACAAAATGTCAGTGAACCTGAGAGTCCTTCATGCTTTTCCACAGCTTGAAGTGAGTTGCAAGGTAGAATTAATTGGGGTTGGCAGGATTAGAAATTGGACATAGCCTCTTAGTTCTAGGGACATGAAGTCTTCCCAGTTTGGCTTCCTAATTTGGTTTGAAATAAATTTCTGGAATGTCAAACATCCCCCTATTCAAAGGTAAGTATATATCTATATTCCAAAGCCAAATGAAAATGTCTTTTAGATTATGTGTCATTTTCTATTACTCGTGATACAGTTCCCTTCATTTAGTGCCTATGATCAAGAATTAACATTGCACCTCAAATACAAATGAATGGGAAAGGTAACAGAGGGGGAAGGCTTTCAAAATAGCCTAAAATAGGAGCAATTTGTCCATGTCTAATTTGTTGGGCAAAAGGATTTTCACCTGTTAGGAGAACAAGGTAATCTAGTTTCAGGTCTTGAAAGAGAGAACAAATAGAGTGTTCTCTTTCTTCATAATTGTTCACATTTAATGGCATTACAAGGGCATGTTAGCTATTCCAACCAAAAGCAATTTAATGAAAATGTATGCATATTGGTGGCATTGATATGTTAATGATGGGAATGAAATATAAATCTTTGGGGAAATAAATGCGGGAGAGGGCACCAAGAGGCTTTGTTCACCAACTCACATGGAGTTGGGCTTCAGGAAAGAATAACCTAGAGTCTGTTCTCCCTTCCTGTGACCTACAGGCTCTTGGTGCAGGGAACTCAGGTAGATGGAGATGGGAAGGCAATCATTTGGGATCTCCGTGGTCTGTAACCACCTCCGAAGGGAACAGATCCCACCACTTGGAATTGACTTCCATCCTTAACCCCCAATCTGTATCTCCAATTGCCTAAAATAAAAATAAAAAATTGAACCACAAGTAAAATTCATCTTTACCAAGATCTTCCTAGATTAACCCCATCCAGATTGGTCCCTGCCCTCGGGTTCCATCTATATACGAACTTTTGCACATGTTGATATATTGCCTCAAAGAACATAATTTGCTGATACATTGTTCCAGATCATTTCATCTGAGTATTTTTGTGTTTATTTGAGAATTCAGGTGCCTGGAACTTTTCCCTTTCATTTGGGAATTCAGGTATAAAGTCAATTTTCTATAATTGTTTGTGGCATTACTCCCAGAAGGGGAACTATTGGATGACATTTCCATCAGAGATGAAAACTCACCAGCCATTTTGTTTAAACATTGCTTGGTCACTGGAATTCCAATTCAGTGGGTATAATTTATATTGATTCTTCCCATATGTTCCTTCATCAATTCCTAGTATCTCTACTTCCTTCTCCTGCCTCTTTATCAGTAGGCTCTAGGCACACAGACATTTGCCCAGAGGCGATCAATTCTGATGCCAATATGGAGTTTCACACTCACATATACAACAGTAAAAACAAAAGTCTAAAAGAGACTAGTAAAAAAAAAAAAAAAAAAAAGAAAACACTTAAAAAATAAAAGAAAATGATAGGTTTTGATTCATTTCCTTAAGGGTCTTGGGACTGCTTTCTATTAAATTTGTAGACTCATTTCTTCCAGTCTATAGACAGGACACATGGTCATTTATTTTCATGGCGTAGGGGGCATCTTCTCATAAGAAACCAATGACCTGCCTGTCAGGGAAAATCACTCAGCTGCCCCCTCTTTACATTCTTATCTCTTCCCCCAAACTCTCAGGAGAAAAGACCCTAAGACTATGGACCAGAAAAATATAAGGGTGGTAAAGATACATAAGGATGCCATTAGACTTTGCCTGGAGCAGATTCAAGGGATTTGGAGTATCTTGAAGAACTGACTGTGATTTTAGCTTCTATTCATTTCTCCACGCAAAGAAGCATGAAACATACAACCAAAAGTGGAATTGGTGTTATCAACTCATCCCCCCCTCCTTCTCTTTGCTGTTCTTCTGGTGCCATCTTTTTTTTTTTTTAATGTTTATTTATTTATTTTTAAGAGAGAGAAAGAGAGAGAAGATGAGCAGGGGAGGGGCAGATAGAGAGGGAGACAGAGAACCCCAAGCAGGCTTCATGCTGTCAGTGCAGAGCCTGACAGGTGGCTGGATCCCACAAGTTGTGAGATCATGACCAGTGTCGAAACCAAGAGTCGGATGCTTAACTGACTGAGCCACCCAGGTGTCCCTTTTCTGGTGCCACCTTGAACTCCATCTCCTCAATAAGGTCTCCTTGGGCACCCCAAGACTGGCAACTTTATTCCTGGCCACACCTAGAGCACTCTGTCTGGAGCATGCCCCCTTGATGTGCCAGATGTTGTTACCAGACAATGTGCTTGGAGGGGAGAGACAGAGTTTCAGTCAGCTTTTATTCCCACAGTTACCAAAATAGTATCAATAAATATTTATTCGATAAATATTGATCCATCTAAAACCTTAGCTTCTAAAGAACCAAATCTTTATTACTTACTTTGTGAGATAAATCATAACAAAATAAAAATTATTAAACAAGAATTCGTGGACACTGTCTCTAGACAAGTTAGTGGGAAGTCAGTCAGAATTTGAGCTGGGTGGAAGTTGGTGGGGGAGGGGAGAGCCATAGCAAAACAAATGAAGAAATCCATGCCAGTCTATCTGGTTCCAATTTCTGGGCATTCTCCCATCCTAAGCTAGCCCCAAGCCCCTAATCACCATGATAAGCAAAAGATTTCATCTTCTTCTAAGAAGAGAAGGTATGACTTCAAGGTAGGCAGTAGTGCAGCGAAGGGTTGGGATCAAACCCTGGGAATCATCTACTGTCAGAGTGGTTGGAGCCCACGAGATTCTCTTAGTCCAACTGCCATATTGAAAAGATGAGAAGAATGAACTTCAGAGAGAATAAATAACTCTCTAGTCCATGGAGTTGATCCTGGGCAAAATGGGGATGAGAGTCCAAGTGTCTGACCCCTGATTCTAGATTTTGAACTATCTAAGTCATTTAACTAGACCTCTTTAAGAAAAATGATATTAATAATCAGAGTGAACATCTCGAACTAATCTATCAAAAGCTGGAGACTTACTAAGTGAGCTTTTTTTTGAAACCTACCTGTAACATACAGGTAACCCAGGAAAGGGATGGGAACGTAAAATATTAACAAAGCTGTGAAGTGCACAGCTGAGAACTAGTTAGCAATATCCAGTAAAGTTGGAGATACATATTCACTTTAATCTGGTGATTCCACTGCTAGGTATAGAAACTCCCATACACATGCATGAGAAAAATTCATTACTGAAAATTACATTAGAAATAACAACCAAAAGATAGCCCTGTTAAGAGGTCAGGTTCCACAGGAAACAGTCTTGACATGGGTGTCTGTCCAGAAGGGTTTTAGGTAGGACCCTTGGGAGCAACACCTGTGAGAGTAAGGGAAGCAAGACTGGGCCAAGAGAGAGGTTGAAAGTCCCTGCAGAAATAACAGAGGTCTCAGCCAAGCCTACAGAGAGCTCTGCATCTGGGGTTGCCTCTTCAGTTTGGACCAAATCGATGCAAGAAGTCCACGACTTTTTACCCCTCACTGACAGTCACTGGGATGTGAGCTGGCCTGGGAAGGGGTGTGACTTTGGGTGAACAGCTTCCTTTGCCAGAGGTCAATAACTAAAGAAAGACTCTGCTGTGAACCATGAGCAACCAACATCCCTTGTGTCGGGGAGAATGAACGTCTTGGTAATTGGTTGGCACATCATGGTGTCCACTATAGCACTCCTCTACCTGCAAAAAAATATGCAGCCAGTAATTTAAATGCAATTCAGACCAAAAAAAAAAAAAAAAAAAAAAAAACTAAGATAAAAGAAGAAATCAATGTGCAAATAACAAATTATTTTGATACTTGAACTAATTAAAAATCGAGAAAAGTTAAAATCAATAAACCAAATAAAGCAGAAAGAATTAATAAAGTTAAACCCAGAAATTAATGGAAGATAATATTTTTTAAAGGCATTGATTCATAAAACTAAGAACTAAGACTTTGGAAAACCAAAAAAATTAACTGGCTGAGTCTAATCAAGAAAAAAAAGAAAGCTACAAATGAATGGGAAGGAGAATTAACCACTGATAAAAATTTTCAATTATCAGAAAATATTATGTACAATGTTATGCCAATAAATTTGAAGCCTAGATTTAAAATGATGATTTTAGGGGTGCCTGGTTGGCTCAGTCGGTAAGCGTCCGACTTCAGCTCAGGTCATGATCTCACGGTCCATGAGTTCGAGCCCTGCATCGGGCTCAGTGCTGACAAGTACAGCACAAGAAAATAATAATAATAAGCCAATATCACCTGCAAACAGATGTACAAAAGCCCTAACTATAATTAAAAATTATATTTTTAATTTTAAAAATATTAAAAATAGTGATGAACCATAATCAAGATAGTTTTATCCTACAAATGTAGGATGACTGAAGCTTTAAATATCTATTAAAGTAACCCATTGCATTAATATATTAAAGGAAAAACTCAATCTAATTATCTCAATAGGTGCCCCGCAAATTAAACACCCATTTAATAAAGTTAAACCCAGAAATTAATGGAAGATAATATTTTTTAAAGGCATTGATTAATAAAACTAAGAACTAAGACTTTGGAAAACCAAAAAAATTAACTGGCTCAGTCTAATCAAGAAAAAAAAGAAAGCTACAAATGAATGGGAAGGATAATTAACCACTGATAAAATTTTCAATTATCAGAAAATATTATGTACGATGTTATGCCATTTATACTGTTGATTACTTATGAAATAGAGTATTACAATGGCCCACAACAATTTGGGGCGCCTGGGTGGCTCAGTTGGTTAAGCGTCTGACTTTGGTTCAGGTCACGATCTCACGGTCCATGGGTTCGAGACCCGTGTCAGGCTCTGTGCTGAAAGCCCAGAGCCTGGAGCCTGCTTCGAATTCTGTGTTTCCCTCTCTCTCTGACCCTCCCCCACTCTCTCTCTCCCTCTGTCTCTCAAAAATAAACATTAAAAAAATTTTTTTGAATGACCCACGACAACTTAAAATGGCCAACACAATCTAGCCTCCTGTTATCTGTGACTCCACCTTTTTCTAGCTCACTGGATAGAGGAAACAGAGAATAGCATTAATGGTTGCCACAGTGATTGAAGTCTACAGGGTAAGAGAAGAGGAAGCTTTAAAAAAACAAAGCCCCCAAAACCTGCATAATATTTACCTTGAATTTTGTCCAGCTCTTGAGGGTAGAACTTCAAGGATCTCAGCCACCGGGAGGCAAGTTGCTGAGCAGAGATTTCAGAAGCCGTATACGGCTGGGGAGATGCTGAAGCCCATATCTTGCCAGAGTGGATAGATCCTGATGAAAATCTTGGGATCTCAGTACCATAGTTTTACCAAATCTTACAGTGGACCAAACTTGGGAAAAGCTACACGGGATTCCTCTGTACTCTTTCTTACATGATCTCAATATAAAAAGTTTAATGTTTAAAAATCAAGGCATAAAGAAATGTTCTCTGAGAAGCCAAAGCTGAAAAAACCTGAGCAAATATATTGATCAGCGCTTCTGGACTACAAGATATACTCAAGGAAATTCCACAGGCTAAAGATGATCCCAAAGGAAGCGCAGAAGTACGAGGAGGAATCAAGAATTCCAGAAAAGGTAATTGTGACGGTAAGCAGAAAAGGCATTTTAAAGCAAAAATAGTAATAATGTCCAAAATAAAGACACTACCACCACCAACAACAACACATATATCCTAAACCAAGTAATTCCGCATCTTAGTATCTACTCTGGAGAAACACTCATGTATGCAGGTAAAAGCAGGCAATGAGATCATCATAAATTCACATGCAATTGTAAGGAAATTCATTACAACTTTAACAGTAGCAACAATTTGAAAGAAATATGAATATCCATAAATATGAGGCGGCTAAATTATGTCGTGTACACACAATGAAAAATGATGCAGTGGTTTAAAAAAGTGGGGTTATATCTAATTGTGCTAACATGGAAAGAGTTTTTTTTAAAAAAAGCAAGTCATAGAAATATCTGTATAGTATGATACCATGTATGTAAAACATAATTTTCTAGAGTATGTATACATACATGAAACACTTTTGAGTGCTTACTGTATAATCAGACATTATTGTAAGTGCCTTACACAAATTACTCTTTTAATCCTCAAGAGAGCCCTATGGAGTAGGTACTATCATTGTCCTCATTTTTATGGGGGAATAAATCGAACATAGAGGTAACCAGCTTGCCCAGTTACTAGGTCGCTCAGTCGCTAATGACAGGACTAGAATTCAAAGCCAAGAAGATGGGCTCCAGAATCTGTACCATTCCAATAATGCCTGGGGGGAAATGCTGAAAAGACACACTCCCACTTGTCATGATGGGCATAGGGTGATATATGGAAGTGTTGAATCACTATATTGTACCTGAAACTAATAGGACCCTGTATGGTAACTAACTGGAATCAAAATTAAAATTAAAAAAGATGTGCTCCCAATTTTTAACAGTGGCCACCTCTGCCCAGAAAAATGGATTTGGGGTAGTAGTAGAGGGGAACTTTGCCTTTATCCATTCTACTTGAATGCTTAACAAGAATAACTGATGTATTGTTCAGGAATTTTTAAATGACTAAAAATTAAAAGGGAAGTTATGAACCTTAGTAGAAAAAAAAAAGTTTGGAATGAACTGAAGAGTAAAAGTTCAATTCTGTGGTGGCCCAACCCTACACCAAGAACAAGTTCTCTACATAGAAATATGTGAATTGTATACATATAAAGAAATAGAAACAATTTGTAGAATGGTTTCAGGAAGTACACTTACTATTATTAAAATATCTCTATCAAGTAAGAGATAAAGTGTCCATAAAAGTTGAAAAGTCACAAGATAGGAGTGTGGTTCAGGACAAAGCCAAGAATCTTACAAATATTTTCATGTTTATGAATCTGGAGACTCCCATGTGTCTCAGACTATTCAAGAGCTGATTGCATTAAAACAGACACAAGCCCAGCAAAAAAGTTCTTGATCCAATTCCTCTTTGCAATGGACATACGGATGTCAAATTAAAATCATCCTATCCCCCAATCACTTATTACTCTACCTAGAGTTCTCCACTTGCTGGTTCACTTTGTACTCAAAAAGGGTTTGAATGGGCTCCCACTAACCCTGAAGCACACCTAGGGATTCAGTAATTGAGCTGAACTCTGATGAGATGGCTGGTTGCGGAACTGAGTCGTCGAGTCAACCATGTATAACCAGTGAAGTGCAAACAGAATGAGGTGAGAGGGAGGCTCAGTGCAAGAGAATGCCCGGGAAGCCCCTAACGAGTTGGCTGATGGAGACAGAAGATCCCTGGAAGGGGTTCATCAGCTCCACGCGCTGTAGGTCTTTTCTGGAAGGTGGACAGTGAAAGCAAATCGGAAGAGCCCATCGGTCCTGGTCTGGAATTCCCAGAGTGCACAGGTCACCCAACAGGCGCAGGGTCCTGAGGTGTCGAGGATGATGCAGAGTTGGGACTTTCTCACTCACAGCTCAGATCAGGAACAGACAATGCCTTGGATCAGGAACAGAAAACTGGAAAGGACCAATCACCTCCAAGAATCTCAGGGCTGGATCAGAACTTGAGAAGTCATGGAACTCCCCCTTCTGCCCCCTCAGATCAGGACAACCTCCCCGCCTCAACTCCCTTCATTGATTGTTTCTATTATTTTAAAGGAAACATTCTACAACCTCCTTCTGTCAGGAAGTCCTCCCTGAGCTCTGGCCAAATACTCCTTGGGACACAAGGCCCCCAAAATATATTGACAAACTTCCTTGGGTAAAGAAAGAGATTCACACTCAATTTAAGGAACTATATACAAAACAGTGTTCTTATAAAACAGGTAAGTCGTGGGAGAGAAGTAAGTTGTAGGCAGAGAAGGGAAGATATGTTACCAAGAGGGGCTATTTTTAAAATGGAATTATTGCATGATTCTTTAACAGGAGTTATCATGGTATATGTAAGTGATTGTTTACAGAATAGCAGCTGCGTCATAGGAATTTTTCGTAGGCAAATTGAAAGTTTAATTACCCATCGCCCACTGTGTATCTGTAAGTCAAAAAGAGGTGTAAACTCATAGGTGTAGGCACTCCCCAGTCCGGCCGGCTGGACCGTGACCTACTGGAATCTTCACGTGACAGATAGGAGAGAGAACAGTGAGTCTAGTTAGGGAGGCCAGCAGTTGGAATCAGGATATCCAAAGAAAGGTCACGAATGAAGATACATGTTCAGGCCAGACATCAGAATCAAAAACAGGTGTTATCATTATGCTTCCTGGAAGCGTTATCCAGAATAAAGCAGGACACAGCCAGGGGCTGGTACACAGGAGGCAAGGTCCAACCTCTACCACCTAACAGGGAGCCAGGCCTCCAGAGCAAAGGGAGGGAGGCAGAAGACCAACGAGATACACTACGTGCCATGTTTTGAGCACAAAACTAATTCCAAATACCATCTATGTTCAGACTTGGTTCTCACTGGCTATGGATTTGCTGATGGCAGATGCCTGGTGGAGCAGTTTGAAGGGATCCATCGTGAAGGGATTTTACCATCAAGTAGCAAATAGTCTACACATAGACTGTAGGTGAGAAAGTATTTCGTTCCAGTGCATTTTGGACTTTGGGGTAAGACCTGTGTGTAGGTCAGTAATTAGGGACTCTCAACCCAAAGTTTTTATTAAGTTTTGTTGTGAATGGAATGGAATGGGATGGGATGGGATGGGATGGGATGGGATGGAATGGAATGGGTGGTGTGGATGGCATGGCTTGGAACCAAATGCATTGTGTTTAGTAAGGCTGGACATTGTGGAAATTTGAGGTATGTGTGTGAGACACAGAGAGGCAGAAACTGAGACAGAGAGAAATAATGTGATTTTAAAAAAAAAGTAATTTCCACTATGGATCATGGTTTTAAAAAGTCGTTAATGTCACTGAACAAACAAACCCCTCTTATTTTACAGGTAAGTAAATTAAGGACCAGGAAGGGGAAGAGACCACAGGGGGATATCTAGTCTGAGTCCTTCTGCCATACCCACCTACAAAGACCAGGCTCTCCAGACAAAACAAAACAAAACAGGACATAGGACATGTTTATTTTTATGAATACTCTTAATCGATATTAAATTCAATTATGTTTTTATTATACATTTAACAAACTGAGCTAATTGAAAAGAATAAAACCACACAAAAACAAGACCTTCTTGGAAAAACCACAGCTATATTGTTGCTAACTAGAGCCTGTAACCTCTCATATGGTTACCATGGCTTTAGCCAGAAGCCTGTTTTGCCCACAAAACAAAAACTAAATCTGCAATTTAGATATTGGGCCACGAGGTGCCGTGCCATAGAGACACATGAGGGACCACAGACCCCAGTGATTCCTCTTTTGGTGAAACAATAAAATTTGATATTTGAACTTAAATATAGGGGTGCCTGATGGCTCACTTGAGACTTTGGCTCTTGGTTTCAGCTCAGGTCAGGATCCCAGGGTCCTGGGATCAAGCCCCATGTCCAGCTCTGCACTGAACATGGATCCTGCATAAAATTCTCTCTCTCTTTCCCTCTACTCTCTCCCCTACTCTCTCTCTAAAAATAAAATAAATTAATAAGAATAAGCTTAAGTCTAACATAGTCCCCCCAAAAGAGATAATTGTTCCAAAGCAACAAAAATTAAAACTAAAAAATCCTGGCAGAGAATTTAGTATCTTTTTCTGACCCTGCAATTTTATCTGTTCACCCTAAATTTTAGTTTAATCTAAAGCCCTTATAGTTGGTTTATCTTCAGCTCTTAGGTTTTCTTGGCACGAAGCCCCTGAGCCACTCAACTCCTGGAAGCTTAAAATAAAGCCATTTCTCTCTAGACTCTTCCCAAGATCATAAAAGGAACGAACTTTCTTTTTTCAAGTTCCCTGATCCCAGAGACTTACTTCTTTTCACTCCCCGGAGCAGAAGGGATGGACAGAAGAGGCTTCGAGGTAACATGAAGCTAGACATGCCAATCACAGTCTTGCTCCCTGATCCTTTTTCACCTCTTCTTTTATTCTCCCCCAACCCTCCGTTTTCCCCTACTTGGACTTCAACTGTTGTATACCCCCTCAACAAGTCACATTCAATTTCCAGCATGATTCTTGGGATGCTGGTAGGAAGAAGGGAAGGAATTGCTACCCCCAGTTTATAGATGAGGAATTTAAATTCAGAAAGACGAAATGACTTTCCAGTGTCTCAAAATTCCAAGTCAGAGTCTGTTTCCACAAGACCAGTGTTCTTTCCATCGTTGATTATGTTAG